TGATGTTTGGAAAAATATGGAGTCAGATATCCAGGGATATTAATTATTCTCTTAAAATCTTACAATATTGTGATGCATCAAATGAGAAATAATGAATAGGATCCATATGAAGTAAGTTTTCTTTTTACCCAGATGAAGTCTTTTTCTGCCTTTATGATGTGGAATGAGAACTGGTTTTAAATCCAGGTCTTCAATGATCATTGGTTCTAACCTGTAAGCTACTGGATCAAGCTGTTAAGAGACAACATATTGACATTTAGTTATCTTTAAATAATTCTAATTATCACATGTCAGTGAAAAAAAAATCCCTATTTATGGATTATAGACAGCCATTTTTCATTTCTGCACTATTTGAATTTACAGAAATTCAGTTCATGACATTAAGCAGGTTCATTAATTACTTTGGTTTTGTTCTCCCTACAGAAGGAGATTCTGAGGAAACACAACAGCAAGATTTCCTTGCACTCAATCTCTATCACCATTAAACTGTTAAACAAAATGAGACAGAGGAGAACAAACACTGCATGGAAAAATACAAACATTCCATAAAAATCTACAAGAGTGGCCTCAAATTAATGAAAAAACCTAAACAACTCCCTCCCCCCCAAAAAAAAAAATTCCTTAATTCTGAAAAGAAACAAGAAACAAGGCAAATATTATGAAAACAACCCATGCCTGGAAGTGTTTTAGAAATGTACACAGGGGAACAAGAGGTGTAATGCTCAGAAGGTAGAACTTCATATTCTGCCTTTTTTTGTCACCTACATCAACTGAAATCAAATGTCAAAAGCACTGCTACTCACTGGGTGATAGATATTGAAGAAGCCCTTGCAGGTAGGGAGTCTGTAGTTTTCATCAATCTTCTCCACACCCCTCACAGTAAGGAACACACCAATAGGGGAACCAAGGGCAAAGAAAATATCTGGTTCAAAGTCCAGTGCGCTGTAAACCACAGAAACCTACCAGGCAGAAATCAGACACATCATCTCTCAGAACTGTCAGCTTCAAAGGAACTACCAAAAGCTCATCAACATTAAAAAAACTACAGTGAAAAGAGAGGATTGATCAAATCCTTTAAACTGTTCTAATCATTTAGATCCACACAGTCTCACCTGGCCAGTTCCAATTTCAAAATACTCATAGTCAATGTTCACAGAAGACACAGATGCACCAACTGGGAGCTTCCTCTTTGAGTGCCCAGACTCTGAAGATGAGACAGGAGAAATTGCCTCTTTTGATTTCTGGGCGTCTTCTTGAGTCTGGAGTGTGGCAGCCAGCACTGCTTTCTTTTCTGCTACTGCTTTCTTCTGCTCCTTTTGAGAGAAGTTTTAAAGTTAGGGAGAGAAAAGGTTAATTTCACAGCTGTCAAAATTTCTTTAATACATTCAGGATGCTAACAAGAGTGTTCAAGAATAGAAGCTTGTCCACAGCAAGGAAGTCAGCTACATTTGCTTAACAACTCTTCATTTCCATCCTGAAAGATGTATTTACCTGCTTGGCTGCTCTGTCTTTTACAAAATTAGCTATTTTCTTTCTTGGTCCAAGAGGTATCCCCATCTCCTTCAGGTCATCAATTGTACACATGAGCTAAAGAAACAAACACCAAACACACACATGGAAATTGATTTTTCTAGTAGAGAAAGTACTTATAACTTTTCTAGTAAAATGAATCATTTTATACTGGCGATGACTTATGAATTTGTTGAGTCAATTTATAAAGCTACAGAAAATACAAAAGATTAAAAAGACACAGAGTGCCCTAACAACTGGGTGGCTGCATCATATCAAGAAAAAACAAGAGCTGCAGAACACTGACTCTTCAAGTCATGCATTGATTATCTCATCTTTGCAACTGCTCTCAGGGGTTCAGTACCAGGGACTCCATGTCGATGCGCTCCTTCTCGAAGGTGCTCACGTACTCTGACAAACTGAGCATCTCCAGGCTCTTCTGCAGGGTGGGAACATCTTCCTCTGCTTCAGCCTCACAAAGCTCATCAGCAGAAGTAGCAATGGAGGAGCCCAAGGAACTGGTATCTTCAGTCATCTCAATGAAACAGCACACAAACACAATCACACCCTCTAATAGTGGAAAATCAGTTTAGCAAATCCAAGTTTGACTATTTTCTCTTAAAAACATTATCAAGCAAGCTCTGTAAATATATATCCATTTTTAGTGAAGCAGGACACAGATTTTCCACTAAAATAGAACTTCAAAATAAATATTTAAAAATTACTGTGAGAGACAAAACACTCAAAAATGCTTCCTTTTATTCCTCAAACAACTGGTCACCATTTCTAGTCTAAACATAAATTCTCTCTCTTTCATACATCTGCCCCAACATTTACTGTTAGACCAAGTTACATGTTCACAAGGGTCAAAGCTGATGCTCACCACCAAATCTCATTATTGGCCTACTTGAAACTTAAGAGAGAGGTAATTAATTTGAAAAATTACAATTTTTACAAAACAGTATCTTTCCATTATCATGTTTAAATATACTATCAAAACTTACAGACTTGATTCAGCTAATAAATTCTGAAAAGTTAAGAAAAAAATTGAAAATATCAATTTATAGGCCTGGAAAGACTAGCATGCAAATTACCTGTTTATCATGAACAGCCACATCCTTCACACTCCCATTAACACCAGAGAATGGTCCAGAATTTACTGATGAAGCCAAGTCCTTCTGGTTAGACAGTATGTCAAACAGAATTAAGGAACCTGCAAACAGGAATTAAGAGTTGATTTGGGGGAAATATCAGGTTTTCCTGTCCCTAAATCTTGAGCAAGATTTATATGCAATAGTAATGTCACAGTACAGTTTGATCAAGACGTGGCTGAAGGAAAATACTCCTATGTTAACTTGAACTTAAAAAGCTAAAAGCAGCCCCTTTTCTTTCCTGTTCATGCTTTATGTAGTTGCCATGACTAAACTATTTTTCCTTAACCCCTGAGACTGCTTGGTGAACTGGAGGAAAAGTTCCAGTCCAAACCAGTATGTCAATATTCTGCTCTAACACTTATTCTATATTCCAAAAAATGATTGTACTTTTACTAAGTGGGGGTTCTGAGACACAGACATCACACATCTAACACGTCACCAGATAATCTTCTAAACACAGGTTAGACACTAAGTTTTCCTGAAGGGAAGTACTGGCTTTCTCTCAAAGCCTGATAAACTCAGCAGTTGAGAGGAGTTTGTTGGCTGTTTTCTGAAAGACAGCCATGCCCTAACAGCTAAATTGACTTTTATGCATAACAAAGGGGAACTGATTTGTGACAAAAGCAGCATTCCTCAGACAATCACCTAAGCTGTGCCCAGCCACAGAGACGCCCCCTTTGAAGTCGGGGTTGCGGCTCATGAAGAGCGCGTACAGGCGGTTCATTTCCATGCCCACTTTATCCACGATGGTCTGGCAGTAGGTGGGGCTGTTGTAGAACAGGATGTCGAGCAGCGTCTCGTTGGTGAAGTGCCTCAGGCGACCAATGCTCGGCAAAGTGATTTTCTTTATGTTCCTGGTAACACAGAGTCGTTAAAAGCATGAAAGGCTTTTAAGAAACGGCTCGTGAGAAATTTGTTAGCTTTTGAAATTAATGCAATGTAAATGCTACAGAAAGGGTCTCTAAAGAGATTTTAAAAACCCATACAGCCTTCTGGCCTTGTTGCATATTCACACATTAATGCTACCTGCTGATTGTAATATTTCAGAAAGATACAGCTCTTTTATTCTCTCCAGCCTGAAATAACCTCTTCTCTATTCCAACACTACTCTCATGAAGCACCAGGGAAGTTTGGTGAGCAGACTGAAGTGGAAGAGAAAAAGGAACTTGCATATAAAATTAGACTCAGAGAATGGTAATACTCTCTTTTTGAAGAAGAAGCTTGGCATCACCATCTGCCTGCCTGGAGTCAGGACAGCTGCACTGGAATTGCTATAGACTTGTGACTGCCTGGTTTGATGAACAGAATAAGGATTCCTCCTCATGCAGTGCTCAAATGCAAATAAAACAGCAAGGCTGGAGGAAAGCAGTGTGATTTCACTGAGCTACAACAGTCTGGAGAACATCAGCATTGCTTTAAGTGCCACAGGTTGCCATCCTCACAATTTTTACTTTCCCAGATTTGAGCAAGGGAAACAGCTTGAACTCTGAAGTTGAAAGCAAAGGGGTAGGCAAAGAGAAGGGATTTTAAAACAGATTTTTAAATGCTGTAACATTCTTACCCAAATATAGACACTTTGGTTCAAAAAAGAACCCCTTAGCTCAAATGCCTAATCATAATTCAGGCACTTCTCTGGGACTGCTCAGAGGGCTCAATGCCTTCCTCAGAAAGGGTGAAACTCAATCAGACTGCAGGAAAGTAAAGAATAGAAAACTCTCTAAATTGTGCACACCTCATGGACAAAACATCTCCAGGCTCACCACCTCATCCTTGTGATCACAACTCTACACACTCACTCATCAAGGATCATGCACTGGCCACTCTCATGCAAATCCTGTACTGAAAAGTTGTGGGCATGAAAATAAACAAGAGAGATATTTCTCAAGCCCTTTCAGCTTTCCAAATACTTCTCATCAAAATGTTAATTTTTAAAAATCTGCAATTCTCTAATCCAGTCATATGCATATGAACTGCTCATTTATTCCACTTTCCATAACCCATTAAACAGCAGCTTTTAAGATATTTTCAACATTAACAACACCCTCACCTCACCTGTCTACACCTGTTGCATCCCCATGCAGAGAACTGTGCCAGTGAACTGGAAGGAATTCCACCCTGCTCACTTGGCCTTCCTCCAAATACTTCTTAAAGTGAGTCTGCAACAGCTTCAGAGAAACAGTCCTAAAATCATCAACTGTGAAGAAAAACAATCATGAAAATCTGATAGCTGCAGTACTCAAGTAACACACAAATAGTCCCTCCTTCCCCTTAATTTTACAGATAGTCAGAATACAAGTGATGGAAATTGAAAACTGGAAAAATCTTTTCAAGTATTACCATTCTAACAATAAGAAAGTACTCATTTTTGTTAGAGTGGATTTGTTAGTAAGCTTCTATTTATCTCACAATGATTGCCTGTTCACTCTGTAACCAGAGAGGGCTTTCTTAATTTACTCAGTTGTACCAGAATGTATTTTAAAAAAAGGCAAAAGAACCAAGCCACACAAAGCAAACACATCCACTCACACCACAAAAAGAAAAAAAAATCAACCAAAAAACCCCCCACACCACACATCCAAAAACCCCAATCACCCTGCAAGTGTGGTATTGAGAACTACTAATTACAGCTAAAGCTTCAAGTTTGACAGAACACAGATTCTGCCGTTGGAAAATAATCATGAAAAAATTGAATTTCTTAACATTTGAGACTTTTCTTTAAAAAAAATCTCATAAAGACATGCTTATATGAGCTAGAGAGAGCCACATTTAAACAGCAAGAATACAACTGCTCATTATACAAGCCTAAACTTACCACACTCAACAATGCTTCTAAACCTCAAGTCACATACAGGACCTATGCCATGGACCATAAATACCAGATGGTCAATTTGGGACATTTCTCCTGTAGAAAAAACAAAAGGAAAACATTCAGAGTACCAATATGTACAGCAGGAGTGAAGCTCAGAGTCTATCTGAAGTGTAATACACACTTGTTTAATAAAGCCTGTTACATAACATGGTTCAGGACATAACAGAGCCCACAGGATTAAAACACCCCAAAACCAGATACCCTCAGCAAACAGCTGAGATGAAGGAATAACTTTAATCTTTAGACTCCAGGCACAAACTGCACACAGCCACTCCACCCACCATTGTCCAGCTTCTGCAGAGATCCAAAGTGCTCCCAGAGCAGACCCAAGTGCTCCAGGAGTCTCAACACCTACCATCAGGAATCTCATCATGGTCATCATCAATTCCACGTTTCACCACCCTCGGCCTCGCCTGCCCATCTTGAGAGGTGCCCCATTCATCTGATGAGGTAGAAGGCTGGAACTGAACTATGACCTGTAACAAATACAGTGTCCAATCCCAACCACAGAAAAGCCTCATGACTCATACTGGTAGTGTGAAAGCACTGCATAGTTCAACATACTCTTTCATTGTTTTACCTTTCATCTGAAAATCAAATGTTTTCTTTCACAAAATCCTCATTAGTGTGAAAAGCAAACTGATGACTCAAAGTAACCACTAGGTGAAGAAGCTGGGCCTGCTCATGGTTCAGAATCACCACTTTAACTCCCCAGCCAAGCATTATTCAAGCTCCTCCTCCCTAGTCTCCAGTATCCACTGTTCCTTAGCAGATTACTGCTAATGTGAGGAAATGGAATGCTACCTGATTTACAATAACTATCACAAGGAGAAGGTGGAAAAAAATAAGTGCAGTGCTTTTCAGGGAAGGACAACAGCATCTGAAGTAGTCCAGAGCCCCTAAAAAGTGAGTGATTCAATAGTACAGTTGTTTATAGGACTTCAGTCTGAACTCATATTTGTGACACCAAGTGATTTACATGTTCCTTCTCTAGATTTTACTGGACAGAATTCCCTAACCAGGATTATTAAACACTTTAGGTAGGAGCAACCATGATTCTGTCCCTTGGATAGTTCTGTGTATTAATTACTGCATTTGTGATAAGTGAACAGTTAAGAGTATTGATCAATATGGCTGAAGTCCATGTTTTAATCACATGTGATTGTTCACAGAGTATTTAGAATAACTTTTAAAACTTGTCTTGCTATACTTTCTTATGGCCTGAAAACAAGAAGAAACCTTCTCAGGCCTTAAAGAAACTATTTACCTTATAGCTACATTAATGCTCTTCTCCACATGAAAGCTCTTCATTTTAATTTCATTTGGTACACACCAAGGTTAAACTAATTCAAATTGCTAACCATTTGCTGCCAGTTGTGCTTGGCAAAAACATTTACTATGCAAATCCTTATTCTCTTCAGGTTTCAGAAAGCACTGTCTTTTAACCACATGACAGAACACTGAAGCAAGCACAAATTCAGTGTTCTGTAAACTTGATCATCTTTAATGCACACACACCTAGAACAACCAACTGGTATGTTTCATGCCAGATTAAAACCACATTCAATTTGTTTCCATCCATTTGCTTGCTCCCCCTTAATGAATCCTGTAAGACACAATTGCCAAAATCTATTACCTTGGGATTATGCATAACAATTGTCTCCCCATTTGGAAATTCAAGTCGCCGATGCCATTGATTTGTAGTTACAGCCCTTTTATATTCTGCCTGAAACAGAAAACGAGTTACACAAAATCAGCATGGCAACCTTCTCAGCATTTTGTGGCCTCATACAATGCTACAGTAAAAATTTACAAAGCTTTCTTTATATAAAAAATGTCACATGTAGAGCTACACAAGCAGACTTTAGATGACAGCAGTGCAGGACTGATACAGCAACGTGGCCTTCTAGAAACTCCTCTTTTCAGGATTTGCTTATGTTCCAGGAAATGCACTCTGCAAATCATCTTCATGAAACAGACAGGACTGTTTCTAAGGTGATTAACACAATGAACTAATTAAAACAAGGTGTCTGTGGCTTACTAACCTCCAGCTTGTCACTGAAGTCCTCAGTGTAAGGGATGAAGCGGCTGTCCTTGTCCCCCTTGTAGAACCACAGGCAGCGCCGCACCTCCGAGGGCTCCTCGTCCCAGTACACGGCTTTCCTCAGGCGCTCGTACAGGAACACGTCA